CTGAAACCCTGAAGCCCTAAACCCGAAAACCCTTGAAGCCCTAAACCCTAAAACCCCGAAACCAGGCTTTTGGGACTTCGGGCTTTCCGGCTCGGCTCAGCTTTTGCAAGAGGTCAGAGGGTTTTTTAGGGGCAGGGTTTAGGTTTTAGAGTTTAGGGCTTTTAGGTTTTAGGTTTAGGGCTTTTAGGTTTCAGGGTTTAGGGCTTGTAGGTTTTTGGTTTTGGGGTTTAGGGGAATCGTTCCGGCTTGGGGGTTTGGGGTTTCAGGGATTGGCAGTCTCGCGTAAATAGCAGGTTTCAAGGCTTTTTCGGGTCCAGAGTGGTAGGCTGTGGGAAGTGTAGGGTCTCTGGCTTCGGGCTTACTCTTATGGTTTAGGGCTCAGGGAGTTTTGGGTTTCAGGGTCTTAGGTTCATGAAAGCTTCGGGGGTGAGGTCTTGGGGGTTTTGGAGTTGAGGGTTTTGGGCAGTTCCAGGCCAGTAACACGGGCACACAGCGTCATGATACAGTGAAAGAGACGTAAAGCAAGGATCGTCATTCTGTCATCATCGTCTGCTTCTTTGTCGTCGTCTTTCCCAGCCCACCTTCAAAACCAGAGTCTAGAGGCTTTTGTCTTCGGGCCTGAGGTGTCGGAGGCTATCCCAAGCGCAGCCAAGTCGCCTTGTAGCTGCCCTTGCCTTTGGTGGCACCACGGGGAGGTGGGGCACTCTGAGAGGCCTTTATACTATGAGGGTACGATGGATGGAGGCGCTGTGACGATACCATGAAGGTACTACACGGATACTGTAAGGGCACTACGGGGAACTGCGAGGGCACTCCATAGGCATTACACGGTTTAAAGTTTAAAGTCTCTGACTTTGACGACAAAGTCGCTCAATCTTCTCATCTGCAGTTATCGGCAACTTGTGTGTGCTGGCTGGCTCGCGAACCTAAACCCTAAAGCCTGAACCCGAAGCCCTAGACCCTGAACCCNNCCCCCCCCCCCCCCCAAACCCAAAAACCCTCAACCCCTCTTCAAGCTCTGCTCTCCGAGTCCCACTCAGCCAGGGAGCTCGCTCTCCGCCACCAGCCGGCTCTTTATGGCCGAGGTGGCAGGAAAAGCCAAAGCCTGGGGTCCCAAAAGTACCTTGCGGTTCGGGGTTGAGGGTTTAGGCTGTAGGGTTTAGGGTTCAATTTCCTTTTTAGGGAACTCAGGGGTATCTGTAGTAGACAACATGGTGTCCTGACTATGGTGACTTGGCTTTAACCATCCCCGAACTAAGGAGTACATACCTTAAATCATGTTGGGGATCCTGTTTTATAGTTTTAAGGTATATACTCCTTACTTAAAGGATCTTGGAAGATCTGGGAAGCCAGCGGCAAGGTGTGAGCTGGGGATTTCCAGCATTAGGCGCTCATCTCGGAGTTTCGTGGTTCTGGGGTAGGTTGGGGTCCTCGGCACCCCTGGGCCTTCGCATCTTCTGATTCAGATGTGTGGTCCGGTTCCAGCATTCCAAAACCTACAACGCTACACCACAGAGGAAAGACCGCTACTTCTGGATGTTACATGCTGAATGAGATACAGTGGCCCCTTACAGTTCCCATTATTTTAGGCATCTGTAGTTTGCTGAATTTACCTAGTGACCTTCCTGTCTGCAGCCGGGCTGCCGCATTCAAGAGATAAACATGCCATGCCTCCGTGACGAAGGCAAAGCAAAGCATGTACAGAGCACCCGCAAAGAGAGCCAAACCTGCAGGTTGGATTTTGTGCTGGGGCTTCAGAGCAGCTGGACTTCGGGGCTTAGGGTTTATATGGTTTGAATGTAGAATGTGGAAAATAACATGTAGCATACCATACCATGAAAGACCATACCTCAGATCAACTTATATAAAAGTACATACCAAATACAAAATTACAACATGTGATATGCCAATGATACATTGAAAGCCCAGGGCTTCAGGGTGTTTTTTCAAGCTTCGGCCGAAGGCTCAGATTGCTGACCCCCGCCTAGCGTGCCCACGTCTCCCGCGATCCGTGACGTGAAAGAGAGGCCTAGGTGTCGACTGCAACAGTCCCCAACATTATGTATAATTAAGGCTCTATATTAAACACTAAGGGGAATCAAAAATCATACCAAATCGATACCTAGAGGCCCACTCCGGCCCAAGCTACGCTGGATGCCATAGCAATGGCTATGGCGAAGTTGTTGCAGGATTTCGGCCAGTGCACATACGTCCTCAGCTGCGGCGCCGTGCCTTTCCACGAGCTTCTCGTCAGTATTTCCTATGTTGCGAAACAGCAGCCGCTGCAAAATGCTTCCCCAGCAGTTGATCTTCGTCCTGGGAAACCCTCTGTGTCAGGCAAGCATCTGCAGAAAGCTTGTGCTGACCCGCTGGAAACCGTTGCCAATGAAAGTGCTGCCGATGACCTGGCACTCTTCGCTCGATGATAAGAAGCATTACAAGATGTTACACTGATAACGATCATCATTCTGACCATCACCATGGTCGTCATCATCAAAAATGAGAATAATTGTCATGATCACGGTCATGATAGTTCACATTGAATCATTAGAAAAGTCTGCCTTAGCGTTTACATTAAAATTAGTAAGTCGGTTGGTCTTAACATTAGCATGAACCATAGTGACAGCAACAAGAAGAAGAACAAGAGTAAGAATACTAATCATAATAGGAATCATGTAGTGGTAGTATTCATTTTGGTCTGAATCTTAGTCTGAGTAATTTTATTGGTATTGGGATATAGTATTAATACATAATATTCGTATTAGTATTCATATTAGTATTAGTAGGGATCTTCGTGAGACTAGTATTAGCATTAGCATTAGCATCAGCAGTGGCAATAGCATTGCAATTCATATTCTACGCGTGCTAACGCCGATATCAATATTCATACTAGTGCAAGTAATAGAATTAGTATGAGTAGTAGTAGTAGTAGTAGTAGTAGTAGCAGTAGCAGTAGTAGTAGTGGTGGTAGTAGTAGCAGTAGGAGGACGAGGAGGAGGAGGAGGAGGAGTAGAAATAGTAATAATCATGGTAATACGTGGTCATACTGTTCATTCATGGCAGTTGTAGTAGCAGCAGTAGTAGTACTCGTAGTAGTCGCCGTCGTAGTAGCAGTAGCAGCAACCAGCAGCAGCAGCAACAGCAGGAGTAGTAGTAGTAGTAGTAGTAGTAGTAGTAGGTAGTAGTAGTCGTAGTCGTAGTCGTAGTCGTAGTCGTAGTCGTTGTCGTTGTCGTTGTCGTAGTAGTAGTAGTAGTCGTAGTCGTAGTAGTAGCAGCAGCAATATCCTCTGCACCTGTAACGCTGCAGCCAAGCAGCCAGGGTTGACAGCTGCACAAACAGCGCATTTCCTCAGAGCCACGCATGGACTGAGGGGTAAACGCCCCGCGTGCCATGCACAAGCTTCTTGGGATCCGACGCGCCAGGATACCTCAGCTCTCTCGAACTCATAGAGTTTAGGGTATTTAGGGTGGGGGAGCTCAGCTTTTTGCAAGCTAAGGGCTGAAGGGATCCCTGCGCCATGATGCCCTTTCAAGGACTGTTTGGGAGGCTCCGAGAAAGGGCTGCGTCAGGATCCTTTCATCCATTCTTCCAGCATTGGTTTGGGGTCTGCCGGTCTACGGTTTAGGGCCGCGTGGGAAGCGTGTTCCCGGCTGGAAACCATCGAAGCCCGTGCCCTGCAGTCTGCATGAGATTTCATCCTCTTCGCTGCTCTGCTTAGGGTGAACCCGAAACAGGAGCGCAAAGCCTACACCCCTAAAGCTCCAACATAGATGAAGCCCGAAAACCCTGAGACACTACCACTTAAAATCCTAACCCCTAAAACATCATAATAACAATTGTAATAATAATACTAATAACAGTAGTAACAAAAATAATGAATAATAATAATAACAATAATCATAATAATAATAATAAGAATAAGAATAATAATAGTAATAATAATAATAATAATATATATATATATATATATCGACATCCACCGAGCTGCCCAGGCCGAGTCCCGGGGCAGCAGCCGCACAGCTGAGCGCATGGCGCTTGGTGGATGGCAGCGTCCTGAGGAACCCTAAACCCTAAAACCCTACCTGTAGCCGAAGAGACCTGCCTTTTTAGGGTTCCTTATTATGGGCTTCTATATATATATATACATATATACATATATATATATACATCTATATATATATATAAAAAGCTCCTTAAAAATGTAAGTCTTTTTGGGCCACATGTAAACCCTAAACCCTAAGTCTCAATGGCCGGGCTGGGCTTCGAGGCCAATAGCACCACCAATAAAAACCTAGGAAACACCTAAAAATCATATCGCCATAAGTTGAAAAAACCCTTCTATAGTAATATGAAAACCAACAACGATAAGAATAATACTCCTCTCATCATCAGAACAACCATCCTCTCAAGTTATGTTCGTAGCTTGGCTCTGGGGCCCCTGCTCCGGCAGACAGCACACCTTGGCGGCAAGAGACGCGCTGGGAGGCGTTTAGGGTTTAGGGTTTTTAAGGTTCCGGGCTTAAGGGTTTAAGGTTTAGGGTTTAAGTTTTAGGGCTGTTTAGGGTTTAAGGTTTAGGGTTTACGGTTTAGGGTCTTTAGGGTTTAGGGTCTTTAGGGTTTAGGGTTTAGGGTTTAGGGTTTAAGGGTTTAAGGGCATGGTCCAAACGAGCGCCTCCCTGAGCTTTCCTTCGCTTGCTGCTAAGGTTTGGGTACTTCCCCAAGCCTGTGAAAGTCTATACAGAAGGATCATATTGAGGGCCATTTAAAAATGTGTGTATATATATATGTTTACTACAAATAGGTAGCAGTCTATACTAGGGAGTCATATTGAGGGCCATAATGTTATTGATTATCCAACTGAGACAGAGTTGGAGCAGTACCCAGGTTGAGGTGGCGACCAGGTATGGCAGAAGGATCACGACGTAAACAATGGCCATGACGAGTACACCTTCGGCACCAGACTCGGGCGTAGGGTAGGAGTCTCCGGATGTCTCCGGCCATGAAGCCATCCGGAAATCGTACCCGCAAACACGACCCCCCTTCAGCACAAACCCAGAATTTCACCAACTGGCTCTTGCCTGGCCTGCTTTGAGGGACAGTGCTGCGCCAATTCCAGTGCCCAACATCCTAGGTCAAGCCCAACTGCTCTGGCTTCGAAGGGTTCCGTCCCTGTGATTGTGAGTTGCCTGGGCAAGAGATATGATAGTACAATGCCATATGATATCATATCACGTCCTATAAAAACGTATAGTAGAGTATAGTGCAGTATAATATAGTTTGGTATAGCATAGTCTAGTATAACATCCGGACCGGGCCCCTAAACCCTAAACCCTAAATCCTAAACCCCAACTGATGTTTCTTGGTCCCTGACGTGGCGAGGAGTCCGGCGGCCATGATGAGGCCGAAAGCCACGCTGCTGTCGCGAGTGTCCTGAGGCGAGTCTTTGAAGTTACCCGGGTCCGGATATGAAACTGAAATATAGCATGTTATGTTATGCTATATTATGTTATTTATATGTTACTTGAGTATATTGTGGCATAGTATAGCACAGCATGTTGGATTATAGTATTGTATAGTATATACTATCTACCGAGGTAAGCTCTGTCACAGGAAGTTTGGAACCGGTTGCGCGGCACAGACACTGGCTTTGACCCCCCATGCCGCATACTGACGGAGACCACATCAACTTCTAAAGATCCCTCTGCCCCAAAACCTGTTCGCTCCTCCATCAAATCCACGATGAAGGCGAACCAAATCGCAAGCACCGGCAGTTCTGACGGGATCGCACATGAGCCACAGGCGTCACGAGGAAATGGTTTAGAGTTCAATAAAGCAAAACAAGCCAGACAGGCCTGCCAAAGGTAGGAGAGCAAAGGTGTAGTACAAACTGGTGTTTCCTCAGACAGAGTGACGGCAACTGCCTGTCGAGGAGCTGCGGCTTAGCTGCAGCTGAGCCGCTGTACACAAAGAGCATCAACGCCAATAGGCTCGGGTAGCCAAGGAAACTACACAGCCTTGGCGGCACAAGTTTTAAATCAGCATCCTCGGGGACCGACCTCCTTTTTGAGTCTACGGCTGACGGACAATCCTAGTGGTGCATTTGTCCATCAGATAGCAACTGCTCCCTGCCCTTCTAAACTCTGCTGGGCCTCTGCGGCCATGCAAAGACCGGGCAAGTGGCTACCACTCCGAGCTCCGAGTCCGAAATCACAACAACCGCCTCCGAACTGAAGTCTTTCATGAATTCTGCATCCTCAACCCTTAGGGTTTAGGGTTTAGGGTTTAGGCGCAACCCCAAAGTTCCTTCATGTCGCTCTTCGCAACAAGAGCGCTGGCGACAGCAAGCCGGGGCACAGGATCACCGGCCTACGGCCAATAGTGTCGCTCAAGGCGCCCAGGAAGGGGCCCAGCGTGAAGTGGAGGAAGGAGCCCGCAGCCCCTGATATGAGATTAGATATTAGATTACATATGCTGTTTTCCAAACATACATATACGTATATATAAACATGTTTGAAACTTGTTCATATGTGCGTTTACATTGTCTTAGTCTTACACTCTGCTCTATTCTGCTATGTGAGCTTATGTATTATTTGTTGCGAAAAGGCCAGGTCGGATGGAAGGTCAGGGGTCGCAGACCGTGGGTCCCGGCACTCGGCACATCTCAGTGCTGTGCAGATAGCGCACAAGTCAACCCCTAAACCCCGAAACCCCGAAACCCATAAGCCCTAAACCCCTGCACCCTAAATCCCCAAGCCCTACACTGTTACACCCCAACCCCTAAACCCCTAAACCCCTAAACCCCTAAATCCTAGACCCTCAACCCATAAACCCCAAACCCCTAAACCCTAAACCCCTGAATCCCAACTCCCAACAAACGAAAGGCAAGGAAAATCCCCACATCTGCCACAGGCTCTCCATAATAGCAAATAATAACCGTGGTGATAGTGGAAATAGCAATGAAAGTAATAACACTAGCAATACTAATCATCATCATCATCGTCGTCGTCATCATCAGCATAGTTATGAACAAGAGGACTGATTAAAAAAAAGATAACCATAAGAATCCTAGTCATGATGAAGATGATAGCCCGTAGTGATACTAGCACAGACAGTACCAGTATCCCTAGTCTCGGCCTTTAGGATCAGAGCCTCGGGTCTGCAAAAAAACCAAGCCTGGTAATAAGGAAAGGCCCTCGATCTTGGGAACGGCTTAGGGGTTAGGAATCAGGGTTTAGGGTTTGGGGTTTAGGGGTTTGGGTTGGGTACTGCCCCCATACAGTAACAGTCTATAATAGGGCTACTATTAAAAGGCCTTGTATTTCCATATTCTAAATATGGCTCGACTGTCACTGAGGGGGGGGGAGGTTTCCAAGGTTTAGGGTTTAAAGACCGAGGCTGTAACACCCGAGGCCCGAAGCCCTCCTTACCCGTACAAGCCAAAGGAAACCCAGACTTAGAAGCCGAAGGTAAAAAGCCCGAACCCCGAGCTGAGACACCCTAAAATTTCGAAGATTGCGCATGGTTGTTGTTATGATTAGCACTGCTCTTGCTATTAACTTGATCATTACCAGTGCTACTACTATTAATGTTCTTGCGATTATAAGCTACTGTTACTAGAAGCGAATTTAAGGGTCTATGGTGCATGGGCACAGATGCGAGGATGCTCAGTCTGCTGCCAATAATGCTGCTCCAGAAAAGGTTGTCCTTGATGGCCGCCTCGGAATGCACTTGGGGTTATAGTCGAGTGCTAAGAACTCACAATAACAGTAATAATAAACATAACAATACTAATAATAACGATATTAGTAGGCGTAGGAACAATGGAAACAATAAGTAAAGCACTGTTTGTCCGAATGATATGGATGCCTTGCCCTGGCAAGAGGCGAGCCTGGCAGTAAACCAGTTCTGGCGTATCCTCGCAGTGGATATCTTCCGGCCTGCACTCAGCTGCGCTTTGGGATGTATGGGTTCGGGCTCAATGGAAATGATGAGGCGTGGCACGCGTCGGCAAACCCCAACAGTCCTCAAGCTCGTGTATTGCTGGGCAAAGAAGTTTAAACCTTGGACCATGGCGGAGCTTTCGGATTCGAGGGGTCGGACACCAAAAAAAGGGAAGGAGCCCTCAGCCTCGAAGCCTCCCAGATTTCTGGGCAAAACGGATATTAAGGGTGTAGCCTTTAGGGTTTAGGGGTGTTTTGGATTTTGGCTGGGGTTTAGGGTTTAGGGCTTAGGGTTCCTCAAATTTAAAGCGTCCGAGGGGCCGATGTAGGACAAGCTGGAGGTTTGGATGCCCGTGTTCACCCCACCCAGGATCACAGGGAGCCATAAGGGGCGGAGCTGCTTCACAACCTTCCCAGACCACGGTTTTGGGGGTTTAGGGTTTAGGGTTTAGGCGGTTTAGGGCTTAGAGCCTAAGTTTAGGGGTTTAGGGTGGTTTAGAGCCTAAGTTTAGGGTTTAGGGTTTGAGGGTTTGAGGCTTTGTAGGCTTTAGGATTTAGGGACTTGGGCTTTCGGGGACTCTTTTGGGGGCTTTGGGCTTCAGAGCGGATCTTCGGGACCTCGGGCGTCGGTAGCTCTGGCGCAGCCTTGGAGTTTGGACCTCTGGGCTGCATCCTAGACCCTAAACTTTTTAGATCCTAAACCCTATGTCTATGTACCCCAAACCCTAAAACCCTAAACCCTAGACTTAGGCTCTAGACCCTAAACCCTAAACTTAGGCTCTAAACCCTAAGCCCTATATACCCTAAACCCCAAACCCTAAATCGTGGCCAGGGCTTCGGAATGTGGGGTGTCAGGCCCTTTGGGGTTGAAAGGTTTAGGGTTTAGGGTTTAGGGCTTGGGGTTTATGGGTTGAGGGTTTGGGGTTTTTTCGGGTTTAGGGTTTAGGGTTTGGGGCTTCCGATTTTTGTTGGCCTTGGACTTGATGCCCTGATCGTTACCGAAGACTTCGAATCTCTGTAGCGCTACGCTTATCACATGCCTGCTTCGCTTCCACGTGGGGTTCATCAACAGCAGCGTGCCTTGTACAGCTCCGACGTCGGGCTTTCCTGCAGGTTGGACGTTAGAGCAAGGGCTCACCAGGCAACGGGCCTGGCACCCTGAGTCTTAATGTACGGGCCTCAATAGTTGGAATAGGGTTTCGGGGTCCAGTATACTATAAACGAAAATAAGTGGTAATTATGTAGGCCCCTATACCTAATATAAGTCGCAAGCACTGACAGCTGGCGCGCCACTTCTCAAAGCCGAAGAGCAAGCAGGCAGCCCTCCCGGCGGCTGGACGAAGCGGTGAAACACTCTAGGACTAGTGAACTTTAGTGAACTCGTCCGAAACCCGGCATAAACCGACACTCACGCCCCACGCGCTCTCCCTGAAGAGCTGCCGCAATTCCCGCTCAAAGGACCCAACCCTCGACCACAAAAACTTGCTCAGTCATACTTATAAGCCCGACCCCTATACATCGTAAACCCTGGCTCTGAAAAACTACAGCCCGAACCCTAGCCTTCAAGCCCAACCCCGAACCCCTAGGCCCTAAACCCTGCTCCAAACAACAACAAATGCTCCTTAAGCCCCACGCTACCCCTCAGCCGACCTTTGCAACTCCAAACCGAAACATACCGAAACCCTACCAAGACCAACCCGAAGCCCTACGAAGCCTACTCCTCAAACCGAAATCGCCACTCCATACTACTGGCCTCCCTGGGTGTCTCTGGGAGCACTGGGCCCATGGCTCCACACGAAGCTACAAGTCCATTAGCAGTGCATAAAAGGGCTGATACGAACCGTGCCGGTCATCCAGAAGCGCATCCGCTCCTTTGGTTAGGTCTGGGCTTCTGGCAAAATTCAACCTTTCGACCCGAATGCAAAAGCCAAAAAAACTATGGAATGGCTTACTTTGCCTCGAGAGATGGGAGGATTGGGCTTTCGACTCAGGCTTTCGGTCAGAGCGGTTCAGGGACGGTGGCTCTTAAGAGCTGTGTCTCTGAAGAAGCCTTCCCCCTTTTGCAGGGTCTCTAACATCATGTCGAAAAGCTGCGGGCAGAAGGCATGCGGCATAAATCGGTGTCCATGGAAGAACCATGTCAGATCAAGCGGCGAATAAGGATGATAATTGTAATAACACTGACACTGAGAACAACCAGAGCTATGGGAACAAAGAGAAAGAAGCGTCATGATGCGGGCCGCAGCGGTGACAGCAAAAACAAAGTGCAGCTACGGCTCAGCGGCCATGCCAGCATTATGAGTTCAAGCAGTTGCAAGTGTGGGGAGGCAGGCAGCAGAAGTTGAAGCAATGTCCACAAAGGATCTTCTAGTCTTCATAAACGCCATCAATCATGTGCATAACTTTCGTAGGAACGCTGGCAACCGCAAAATGCAAAAGGGATTGCAACCAAGAAAACATCGCCAGCCAACACAGCAAATGGTGCTGATGGCTTCCACGGTCAAGCACTTTGCGAAATAAGGAAAGTTTCAAACGACGGCAGCGGAAACACTCGCAGCAGGAGCAGATTTCGAAAAAACTAGAACTCATGGCAATACGACCATAACCAACATCTGCATCAATACCATGTGCACCAGTATTGCTGCAGAACACAGGTCAAAACAGCAGCGCGACAAAAGTAAGACGAACGGTCGAAGCCTTCACAAGGATGATGATCTTCACATTGTCGGCATGTCCGCTACAAATGTTGCATTGTTGCCAGCTGCTAATCCCAGATTAGTAAAGCAACAACACGATACTGAGCACTCTCAATAGCCACAGCTGCAGCAAACATGAGAAGACGAAGACGAACCACCAAAAGGAGCAAGCAGAACACGGTTACACGGTGTTGCCTCAAAGACTAGTATCGCATGTATGAGAACCCTACCAAAAGTAGGTTATGTATAATGGGTCCATCCACAAAGCCCGAATACTAAGGATCCTATACCAAGAATGTAGGATGGTCCACAGCACTCTCGGCACGATTTTTTTCGGGCCTCCGGGGCACACGCACCTGAAAGCCCAGGGGGAGCTTAAGGGTTTAGGGCTTTTGGGGCTTCAGAGCTTTTTGGGGGCTTAGGGATCTAGTCATGTAGGGGCTTTAGGAGTTTAGGGCTTGGGGGTTTAGGGGTTTCGGGCGTTGGCTTTGGGTTTGCGTTTCGAGTTTCGGGGTGTAGGGTTTGGGGCCTAGGGTTTCACTTGCAGGCTTGCTGGAAGCATCTCAAAGGCGCCATCCCACTTTGGAGATGAGGACAAATGTCAAGTGCGCCCGGACCGACGACTGCACGTGGGTAGTTCTCTGAATTAAGGTCCCTTTTCAGGTCCCCAATATAGTATGGCACCCTTGTAAAAAGGACCCTAAAAGGGACCCTAATTTAGAGAACTACGCTCGGCTGTGGTTTGGTTTTTTGTTGGGGGTGTAGAGACCTGCATGCAGGTTTCAAGATTTTGCGTTTGGGGCTTGAGGTTAGTGCTTCGTGAGAGCTCAGGGTCAATATTCAGGGTCTTTCGTTTTCAAGAACCACCTGTGGCAACTAAGAGTATGCATCCTACATGGCCGAATGCGACCTTTAGAAGGACTCCGACCTTCCAAAATCCCCCTAACTAAGGAATATATACCCTAAAGTCTAGGAGGATCCCTAGTATGATGTGAGGAATCTTCCCTACTTCAGGGATATTGGAAGTCTGGGGATACTACGGCTGATGATATCAATCCTGCATTAGCCCATAACAAGGAATATACCATACTTCCCATAATTAGGGTCCGTAAGGCCCTAAATCCCTAAACCCTAAACCCTAAACCCCTAAACCCTAAACCCCTAAACCCTAAACCCCTAAACCGTAAAACCCTTAGGCTCCTAAACCCTAAACCCTAAACCCTAAAACCCTAAACCCTAGACCCTAAACCCTAAAACCCTCAGGGTCCTTAAGGTAATGCAGGATTTCTATCATCAACAGTAAGCGCATCATCCGCTGCTGACCAGCTCTGGGGCCTGGCAGAGAGGCGGCAAAAGGCTCAGAGTCGAGTTTAGGGCTTCGGTGACGGGCTTAGGGCTTTTAGGGCTTCTTAGGGCTTTGGGGCTTTAGGGTTTAGGGGCTTTTGGGGTTTAGGGTTTAGGATTTAGGGTTTGGGGTTTAAGGTTTAGGGTTTTAGGGTTTAACGTTTAGGGCTTTAGGGTTTAAGGTTTAGGGCTTTGAGGTTTAGGGTTTTAGGGTTTTGGGCTTTGGGGCTTAGGGCTTTAGGGCTTTAGGGGTTTGGGGCTTTAGGGTTTTAGAGTTTGGGGCTTTAGGGTTTTAGGGTTTTGGGCTTTGGGGGGTTGAGGGTTTAGGTAGTTGGGCTTAGGGTTTTAAGATGTTTAGGGTGGGTGGGATTTAGGGTATAGGTATTTGGGACTTTTTGTTTAGCACCTTTGGGGGTGGGTAGACAAAGTCTGAAGGCCTCTAGGGTTTAGGTGAAAGAAGCCTTTAGGTTAAAGAAGCCTTTCGGTTTGGAGCCCTTGAAGAAGCCTTCAGGGTTTAGGGCTTCGTCGGATTTTGAATGCTTTTGGGGTGTTCGAGTTTCAGGCTTCAGGGTTGGGGGGGTTCAGGGCTTCAGGGCTCTAGGGTTTAGGGTTTGTAAAAGGGTTTAGGGTTTAGGGTGTTTTGAACTTTCGGGTTTGAGGTTCTGTAGCGGTCTAGTCTATCATTCAGAACAAGATCTCAGATGTAATAGTAGTAAGTAAAGTACTCGCATAGTTGTACCGTAGTGTCATTGCAAAAATTCTGTAGTTTGTCGGAAATTGACAGATCGCTTGAACAGTGCGCTTGAGTCTGCAGCGGGCCTTCCTTGATCTTGAAGCGGCTCTCACAGGTTGGTCGCAGTGGGGCAAAACAGTAGCTACAGGGGGTGTGGTAGCGTGTTTAGCATCCCGTCTCCATGTTAACAAAGGTTCCCTGCAGGCCTCGCCCCCCAACCAGTCCAGCAATTTGGCCACGATCATACCCCAAGCCTCAACAGAAGGGTGCGAGATCTCAAAGATTATATTTCAGAGTCACCCAACAGAAACCTCGCAACCTCAAAACCTACCAAAGCCCCCAACCCTCAAACCCTGACCCTAAAGCCCTAAAGCCCGTATGCACAACGTCCTAAAGCCCTAAACTACGACCCTGCCATCCGAAGCCCAACATTGTATACACCCATCGATACTTACTCTATCCCCCTTAATTAGCCCCTGCACACCTCATCATAAACCCAAGCAGCTTATAACTTATAAGCAGGAAGCTCACAGCAAAAAACTATGAACCGTGAAGAAGCACTCGTGAAACTGAAACTCTGTAACCCCTAAAGGCCTAAACCTCAACCCTCTAAACCCTCACCTAAAACCCCACGCCTCAAACCCTAAACTGCCCTAAACCTTATAGGCCCTAAAAGCGCGTACAGCCTACACCAAAAAAGTCCCAAACCCTCAACCCTAGAAGCAGCAAAATCCTAAAACTCCCCAAAGCAAAACAACACGCGCCTCAGCACTGACTGCGGGTGCCCCTCGAGCAAAGAGTCTCGGCGTCGGGACCCCGAGCTGCTTTGGGCTTAGGGCTTCAAGAAGGGATTAGGGGTTTAGGGTTTAGGGCTTAAGGGTTGTGGGTTTGGGGTTTAGGGGTTCAGGGGTTTAATGGTTTAGGGTTGTTGGGGTTTAGGGTCTACAGAGTTCACAAGGTTCAGGGATATAGGGCCTTCATTGGGAGGGTTCTAGACGGGTTTGGTGTTCGTTGATTGGGATTTGGGGCATAGTTGCCTCTCAGCCTCCCAAGTCCCAAGCTGCATAGTACTACCATTAAACTAATCATCTTTCAATTAGCTTTAATACTAATGCTCATACTAAGACTAGTACTAAGACTAAGACTAAGACTAGTTCTAACACTGGTACTTGAGATTGCAGGTCGCCTCCCTTCTGGTTCTGCTGGCTCTGAGCACATCAACCAGATGAGCTTCGGGCGACACGCTGCGTGCATGGGAATCCGAAAAAAAGTGGTTTAGGGTTTAGGGTTTAGGGTTTAGGGGTCTCAGGCCATCTGTTGAGCAAGATTCGTCGCTTTAATACCATGCCCTGGTAAGCTGGGAGAGGGACACGCAGGCTGTGCTGTCAAAGAAGTCTTTCAGCTGTAGGAGAGAACCCTCGGAGAGGGTTCAACAAGTCAAAACAAGGTTGGGCTCTTCAGTAGTACTGTCGGGGTCGGAATTATTGGTAATGGTACCCCCTTGTGGTCCCTATGTCAATATACCACAAAAAGGAAGCTAGAAGATGGACCGATCTTTCTTTGAAAGGTACTTTGTGCTCTGTCATGGCCTGCTTCCACCCGAATCTGGGACGATGAGGAGCGAATGGCCGCAAGCTTCGAGAAGATCCAGGAAGTAAACCACCCAGGCTTTCTGTTGAGGTTCCAGTCCCGGTGAAGTTTTGCCCGGTAACGGTCTCCGTGTTGCAGGCTCTTGCACCCGTTCAGGGTTTCGTCCCAGGGAAGGTTCGCAGCATTCGGACTCTTGATGCAACTCGGCTTGTACACAAGCACGCAGTTGTCCCAAGTTTGCCCCTGCACTGCCCTTACAGTCGTTCGGCTCCAGGATTTTGTGTGCTTCGGCGAGCTTAGCTTCCCCATGGCTTCCATGTGGACACGATGTTAGACAAGGCGGCTCGCTGGGTATGCGAGCCTGAACAGGAGCTATTGTTCGCTCAAGCCGCCACGCCAAAGCCGAATCCATCCTAAAGGATG